ATTAAGTTCTTTTGAACGTTTGAGTAGTTAGAAGATAACTACTGTGAGATATTGTAAAACTGAAAGAATATCTGAGAGAATTTAACCATTATTGTTGTGATAATAATAAATTTTTGTTCATTTTTATTGGACTTGTGCATTCATTTTGTAACGAACCCGTACGCACGCAACAATATTACAATTTTATAAAGCAATATATATATATATATAATATGTTTTAAATAGCTAAAATCAACCAAAAATTGAATTTTTTTTTTTTACTCTCGTAATATTCCACATACGTAATTACATCATATGCAAAAAACCGAGTTCAAATATTCTAATTTTTAAAGAAGTTACAAGCATTTAAAATGTGTAAACAGCGAAAACTTTGTCCTTTAAATTTTGGAGAAAATGTAAAAAACTGTATTTCAACAGTTATTTACTGATGTTATAATTTATATATTTGAAAAAAGAAGTGTTTATTTCTTAAAAAAAGGCTAGAAATGTCAGTATTGACAACTATTAATTAATTTACCTTTGGTTATGTAAATGCTATAGGCTTAGAACAGGAGGAAGCCTACTCGTTGCAAAAAGGCGTGATCAACGTCGCTTGCACCAAAGCAAAAAGAGAAGTTTACCTGCTTGGAATAAACAGAAATGGTAAAAATTATTGTAAAGCATTAGAAGGTAAAACATATGATGAGGGTGAATTTTAAAAGTTTCATTGGATATAATGCATAAATTGTTTCTACCTCTAACTTCGAATCACATACCAATTTGCGATATGTTTATTTTTCTCAAATTTAATATTATGAGATTAAAACTAGTTAAATGTCGCGAAAATATTATCCAGTGTCTATTTAAAGTTAAGTTGCTGTTTCTCATGACCATGCATTAAAGATAAGTTTGAAGAAAAACTTTAAATTCGGTTTTCTGAAAACAAATTTTTTCGCAGTTCGTATGTCTTGAAAATGCTCCATGCATCTCATTTTTAGTTAAAAAGGAATGATATTAGGAAGAAACTATCTTGTTATATGTTACAGTAGATCTGTGCATGCATTTCTGGATATGATGTTATTAAGAAGTTTAAACTTGTGATAATGTTTAACAAAAGGTGACGTTTTTCAGAAAACTAGGTTTAAGTTCACAAAAATCCTTTTTAAAAATTTCTCATCCCATCATATTCAATAACGGATACACAAAAACGTTTGTGAAGTCTTTATAACTAACTTAGGCCCGCCAGCGGCCAAGCGGTAAAGTCGCTGAACACTGGTAGTTCGGTCCGAGGTTCGAATCCCGCGAACGGGCTGGCTGCATGGGCGTTTTCGTGGTTTTCCCCATGTGTAACGTGTATACGAGCCAGTTTCCCTTAGAAAGTCCTCCACGAAGGCATCCCTTCCCTTAGACAGATAGCCCTAGTGTGCTTTGCCATAATTAAATACACGCATTTATTACTAACTTTAAGGAAAAATCAAGAAAAAGTATTGAAAATTAGCGCCAAGGAGTATTTTAAATCTTTAACTAAAATAATGAATTATTTGTTTTAAATTTTGTTAATTTAAAATAAATTTAAATTTTGAACATTTATTTTATAAGCTGATGTTATAACATATATATATATATATATGTATAAAATTTCTTGTTGAAAACAAAAAACTTAAAAAACTATTTTTTAAAGTCCATCTTCCCCTTAATTAAACACAAAATTAGAAACAACATATCTATCAATTTATTGTTACTGTTTTTCATTAATCTCGTTTGTCTGAAATCAGAAAAAGTCCGCGAAATTCATTGTGACAAGGAGGCAAGATTGCGCCTGTCGTTGAAAAGAGCCTTGGCCACGATTATACGACTTTACTCAACTCCTCCCCCAGTTCTGAAGGAAAGCACCCTAGGGTGAAGGCCCTATCACGAACATTTCGAGAGGACTTTCATCTCACCGCACATTTTGAGGGTCCCCACGCTGCACAGATACTGTACATTTACAAACATTCATACCTTTTACCGAAATTCGAAACCCAGTTTAGCGTTTTATAATTTTTTTTTAAATTGTTAAAAATAGTATGTATGTATACTATTATGTATGTATGTATATAAAGGTTATTTTTTATGCGTTATTGTAATAAAAATGAACAAAAATAGAAACAGATACAGACTACTTACTTCGTCACCCTGAACGATCTGGTGGTTAGCGAGGACTAACTGCTACTCCGAACTCCAGATTGTGTTCGAATCTCTCTTTAAGCTGGTTGGTTGTGTTTTTCGCGGTTGTGATATCTATCATACTAACAAACTCTCGGTAATGAGATGGCTAAATAAACGATGGCTTTGGACATTACCGAGAAATGAATTAAGTTGAAACTTATCTTATCATTTGATAAATAAATAAATAAATAAATATCAGGATTGACCACTGCACGATAATATAATCAAGAGAGATAGAAGTATCACTTTTCATTTTTCTAATTTATAATATCTGGAATATTGTGGAATAAATCAAAGATCATCATACCTTTGTACATCATATCGTAATGTAAAAAGTTGACTAATTTTGGAAATGTTCACTTCTGCGTTATCAGTATTTCTCTATGCTTTAATCAGCTGCTTGCACTTCAACGCGCTTTCTTAAATATAAAAATAAAAAAATTATAGCCTCATGGTATAAAGTCTGGTAAGTATGAAGAGTGTCGTATAATCTCTTATCCTAATTATGCCAATTTACTAGCTCTGGCTACTTCCTATGAAGAGTTTCTTGATTTGTAGCTGCTAACATGCAAGAGGTTACACTTCAGAAGTTTCCACCCATAATTCCTCACTAATCTCGGCCCAAAAAATAGAAGAGCATAAATAACAACACTGAGATTTCAATCTCAGTTTTCCACATTCTAGTGTTCTTTAATTACCCTAATATAGAGTTTCTTTTCCTTCACTAGTAACAATGAGGCGCAGCATTCTTACTCTATATAGCGAGTGAGAAAGTAAGTGCTTGAAAATTTTACTTTCTCAATTCTGTTGCAAGGATTATTAACAGTTAAATTATTAACAGTTTATTAACAGTTAAATTTATTAACAGTTACATTTTGAGTTAAACTTCTTTCCTGTCAAATTCTTAACTTCAACTTTCTTAACAATTTTCCTGTCAATTTCTTAACTTCAAGTTTAACTTCCGGCCAGAACGTAGTTTTATAACCACGTCTGAATACATAATGAGGAGGAGCGGTATTTAAACCGCGAAGTTCTTAGTGAGAGAGAAACAGAGTTTCTGATTAGCGCGGTGGACACCTTTTTGGCTATTCTCTCTCAAAGCTATTATTACACTCGGCCGTACCTAGGCCCCTGATGGCTTCGCAGTGAATTAGCGTTAAATAGGCAACTCGGTTAGAATCTTCATAGCTTCGGCTATAACTCTTTTTTTTTTTTTTTTTTAGTTTAGATTAGTTTTAGTTTACTTCTTAGTCTCTTAAGTTCAAGCCCGTCGGCTTTTACTGTACACCCCAAGACGGAGCTCTGTTAAATCTTATCTGAATAATAAAGCGTTATTTACCCTTCCATCTTGTTGTTTCTTGTCACACGAACTCAAGCGATTATTCCCTTATCAGTTCTTATGATTCTTCAAGTTCAACTGTAACGTAGCATTTACAAAGTGAGGAACATCTACAACATTATATTTAATTAAAATTAGTAAAAATAAGTAAGATAAATTATCAAGATTTCCTTAAAGCAGTAAAAACTAACGAAAAACGACTGCAAACAATGTTTGCTGATGCCTTGCTTAAGAAATTGCATAAGTTTGTATTTCTTGCTTTCATAAATTAGTATTCTCTTTTTCATTTACTTAAGGTATCCAATACCTTCAGGTATCAAGTATTCCAATATGTGAATGCAGAATTTCTTCCTATATGGGAGTGTAGAATTGTACGTAGGCTTTCCTTAAGTAACAAACAACTGAAGCAACCTTTATTCCATAAAGGCTGTAAATATCTTAAGACTTAAAAAAATAATTAGGATTATAATAAATTGTGAAAAATCAGGTAAATATTAAACTTGCAAAAAACAGTTATAATCTAAACTAAAGCAAGAAAGCTTCTAATTTTTTTTTAAATTCTGTACGAAAGAAAAATAAATGCTATCAGACATGCATATATTATATACTATATGTAGACTCACAAATCACTTCAAAATCAGACACACACATATATTGGTTACAGTAAAAATGATAAATCGGTGATTATATAAAATTACCGATGATTATACATAATCACCATTGAATTTGGTAAATATGATAAATTACTTCATATTTATCAAATTTACGGGTTAGTTTATAAAATCCCCAACTCGCAATGGATTCGGGTTAATTTATGGAAACAAACCATACCCATATTCTATGGGAAAAAATCATTTATTTGCATTTACATGCAAGTTTACTTCTTTAAACATATTAGACTGTTTTAGAATTACAAAGCTTCCCAGATTTTTTACATTTGCACTTATCATCATAATCACCACTAAATTTGGGAAATATCCAACTCGTAATGGTAAATGTAACAAATATTATGACTTATTGGGCCGGTAGAATAGAGTGTAGGTTTTTTTTTTGAGTAGTTACTACTCAGAAAGATATTTTTTGGTTGGACAGTAGGGCGTAAGAGACCACGAATTACAATATTTTATATTTTACAATTAAAAAGTCAATAAATGGTTATTTTAGGTCACACACATTTATTTAGCCTGAACGGAATTTGAATAAGGGCCTGACAGGTGTTGTGAAATGAAAAAAAAAAATGCAATTTACATGAGCTTGTACAAAACAGTTGCACATAAAAATAAATAAATAAATAAATAAATAAACTGCTGTTACATATAAAAAAACAAATTAAGCCCATATTCTAGAGGGGGGGGGGCATTTTTCAAATAACGTTAAATGCTATTACTACGAATTACTAAATATTTTAAGTTCACTTATTTAAGCATATTAGATTATTATGACATTTAGAATTGCAAAGTTTGCCAGATTTTTTACATTTGAACTTCTCAGACTCGCATTGTCCCTTACAAACACATCGCTGATATCCCTGGCCTCCAGATAGAGATGTCTTTTTAACGCATTCTCGAAGTGATATTGCTAGATCTGGAACATTGTCAAGCAAAATAAATTTTTCTTCACAAATTGTGAATTGATTTCTGGTATACAACTGTGAAAGTATTCCTTGTGTCGTTCCTAACGAATAAAACTCTTCATTTTGAACTTCTAATATCACCGCCAATAAATTTCGGGGGATCACTTCTTGCTCTGTCAACGTCTGGTATTCGTAGTTTCACTGTATCACCAACTTTACCAGCAGGAAATTTAAGATTTGAAACCTTCAACATTTTCTTTGCTTGTAATTCTAAACCTTCTTTAGCACTCATTCTATGTTTTCTTACTTGCTCTTGGCTGCATAAAATATCTGTTTGGGTTAGAGCGACCGCTGCTTCATTCTCTTTCTGAGTCTTAAAATGAACTTCAGATGGAGGTTCATTTTGAGATAGATCGCTATTGTCCATATTAGAAACATTTTCTATTTCGCTATTGGTGTTTTCAGAGACATTATTAACTGTCTCTATTAATGCCTGAAGCTCTTCTTCAGTTCTAAGATGTTTGATAGAGTCATTCGGGAACGAAGACGTTTTCAAACCAAATTTTGCAGGCGTCCCAAACATTGTTTCATAAGGAGAACACTTGATGCCTTCATGAAATGCTCTATTTTTCATAAGTTGCACAAAACGTAACCCTTCGGACCATTTACTGGTGTGATTGCTTTCCAACCAAGAACTTAGCATATTTTGAATATCCTGGTTTGCACGTTCAACCGAACCTTGAGTCTGGCTGTGCCTAAGTTTTCCGTGCACAATTTTCAGATCCGACCACATTGCACAAGCTTCTTCTACGATTTTGTTACTAAACTCACGACCGTTGTCACTTTGCAGTACACTAGCTCCAAATATAGTAAAAATATCAATTAGATGACATGAAGCCTCTTCTGCACGTTTGCTTTTTAGGGCACGCAACTGTACGAATTTCGTCAAGTGGTCTTGATAGACAAATATAAACTTAAAGTCATTATCTGGTTACGACTGCATGTCAGTTAGCTCCACCTGGCATCTTGAGTTCATCTCTTGAAAGACCATTGGCCTAACAAGTCCTTTCTTAAGTACCTTGGTTTTTTTTTTTTTTCGGGGGGGGGGACAACTTTCACCTAAATTTAAGTAAATCATGACTTCTTCGGTAGTAATGTTTTTGTACTTTTTTTGAAGTTCTTTTAACATCCTGTTTCTGCCACTATGGCCTATTGATAAGTGTACTTCATGAATGTTGGTAAAACTTTCTTCAAAGTACACGTAAAATTTAACATTGGAGCTGTCTTCACTTACGGAATAGATAAGTTTTTCAACATTGCCTACTTTCATTATATCATATCTTTTTAGTCTCTGATAATCTTCCGGTTTTTTTCCCACTACTTTTGTTTTTACTATTATTCACTTTTTTTAACAAATCATCATATCTTTCTTTCGTCAGAAAACCACTGTTTGTTTTTTTAGTATCCGTAATATTAAGTAAGTTGGAATTAAAACGCTCAAGCATACCAGCCATTATTCAATGTTTTATTTTTTACCAGAGGGTAGCGAAAAAACGTCTACATGTAACGAAATGAGAACTACTTCTGAAATCACGTGGTTGTCACGTGTTGATAGAAGCCAAGCAGTTGCGCAAACTGAACGACTTTTCGTAAAGTTAGGGACTTTTATCACATTCCCCATTATGAGTTGGAGATTTTATAAACTAACCGGCAAATTTGATAAATATGAAATAGATTTTCGTAAAGTTAGTGACATTTATCACATTCCTCATTATGAGTTGGGGATTTTATAAACTAACCGGTAAATTTGATAAATATGAAATAATTTATCATATTTACTAAATTTAGTGGTAATTTTATATAATCACCGAATTTATTACTTTTTACCGTAACATATATACAGGGGGAGGGTATTATATATGTAGATATAACTATATCTATTTCAAGAATATAATAACGTAGTTGTATCCTCTCCTTTATCGGGCTTAAAAGTCCTTACCTGGTCTTTATTATCGCAATCGTTGTTGGCAGTCATATATTTCAAATTACTGAAGTGTTTTAAATGACAAAAATATTCATGTTTTGACAAAGCCAATTTTTTTAAAAAAAATTTAATTTTTGACAGCTAATGAAATCTAATTTATAATGCGGTCTCTCAGTTCCTATACTTATATTCGGCATAGTTTTATACTCGTTATGGAAAATAAAATTTTAAGAAGTTTGACTTTCGTTCGAAAAAAATTGACGGAGATATTTAATTTCAAAATTTATAATTTTTTATATCATCGGGGTCGATTCATTAAGGTAGAATAATTCGAGGAAATAAGTTTAAATGAGATGTTGAAAAAAATATGCATATTTTAATGGACCACTCAAGGAAGTCACGTGGTGTCCAGATCAGATTTTTCAAGTACAGAAACGACATGCTACGGAGGAGTCTGAAAATTTAGGATTAATGTACGCAAAACATTTCAAGGAAAAAAAAAACATTGTTATTATGTTTCACTGAATTGAATTTTAAGTTCAACACAAAGTAATAACTTTTAATTGCGAATTTATTTTTAAAAGCTAAATGCGAGCGGTACAATGACACGTGTATATATGAATAGATAAAATTATATTTAGATGTATGAATAATCAGAACAGTAATAATCTGCAGAAATGTGAAAAAAAATTAATTGAATGTGTTAAGTAAGTTTTGACCTTATTATGCAGCTTAAAAGACATTGGAAAAAATGAAGAATGCTAAGTAAAGCTATAAGCACAAGAAAAATGAAAGTATTCAGAAGATACAGAAAACGCTTTAATGTGGAAAAATCAAGCACTCAGAGAAAAATTAAAGCAGAACCTCTCAAATTTCACTTGTAACCTGATGCAACGAGCAATTACAAGTGGATTTTATTAATTCCGCCGGATGTTTCAGGCATCAAAGCTTAAACTAATAAATTATAATCTATTTAATAGCTATGTATCAGTCTGTGAAGCAAAAAAAAAAAAAAAAAATTGGGCCTATGTTTTGAACTTTGTTTCATATTCCTTTTAAAATTCTAAAACTTAAATTACTTGATTTGTTTATTTTACATCCACGAGAACCTAAACATTCAATTTATTATCGTTATTCAGCTGGAATGGCATAAAATAAATTATGCTAATAAATGGCGATATGTTTCAGGGTAAATTCGTGAAGGCTTAACTTCCTTTCTTTATATCGCCTGAGAAGTAACGGAAATAACATTAAAACTGACGTTAATTTCGCCAGAAGGAAAACTTCTTGTTTTTAAATTGATTCTCTTTCATCACAATTTTTTTAACGGAAGTATCATTTTTTATTTGCTTTGTGCTTTGTTTTGAAGCATTCTTCCAGCATAAAATCAAATGAGCTGTGTTTCTGCAATAATTATTTATACAATGTTCCTTTAGCTTACGTTCAAATTTGCTCAAAACGTCTTTGGTTGTGAAATAATCATCCTTTTCGTTTCCTTAAACACTTCGGAAAATTTTTCTATATTTTAAAATAAATACCTAAAATCAGAGTAATAAAGTAACAAAGAGCTTAGCTAAAAATGCAAAGAGCATTAATGGAAAGAGCATATTATTAAGAGGGCATAGGAAATTATGCTGCATTATACTGAACATGTTTTTCAAACAAGCAGTTAATTTATTTTCATTTCATTACGTGTTTATGTATGAGAGTCAGAAGCAGTTTCCACTTTTTTCCTTTCTTTTTTTAATGTTTGGAAACAAGAGTGAATTTTGTAGTCTTTGCGTTAAATGTGGAACTTCCAGAAGGCTTCATTTCATTCATCTCTCGAAATACCAACTGTCAGATGAGACTACACATTTGAATAAACGTTTTCTTTCCAAACACTTGTATCAAAGACATTCAACTCTATTCACGTTCCTATAGAAGAATAAAAGTGAAACAAATTCGCTGAAAGAAATCTATTTTTATTTATTTGTTTGTTTCTTTCTTCGAGTTTTTCCAGAAAGGAAATAAAAATAAAAATCCTCCCCGAACTTTTAGCTATGTTTATTCCAAATCAACTATCAATCACACTAAAGAGCACAAACCTCCATCTCCATATATTCGTACCCACCTTGCACGAAACAAAGTTAGGTAACAACCTCTACAAGTCTCAATATGGACGCAGTTAAGGACATAGCCAACATTTTTTTTCCTTATTTCATTCGCCTCCTTTTCTTTGTTCCCTCGCTTCAGGGTGCAGTCGGTGAATCAGCATCAAAGTCAGTCGTATCGAATATCAGCTCAGCGTGCGTATATTATTATTATTCCGGCTTCACATCCGAGGTTCTGAAAGTGTGTTAGTGGAGAAGTGTCGATAATGATTGTTTCCTGAGTTTTCTGACATAGATATATAGAAAGCAAAAGGAAAGGCAGCTTTAGAGAGCTTTGCCGGAGAAGGAATAATCCTTGCTCAGCATGATAGAGCTCCTAAAGAGCGGCTGGATGTTCTATACTTACCCTGATAGGGTGCATGAAATGAGGTTTCCTGCACTGCACTGAGTTCCAAATAATCCTAACGTAATTACCCTGCCTTGGGCATCATATCCGTGCAAGCAAATTCGGAGAGCATTTACACAGACTGGAAACTGAGGCAAACAAGTAAAAGTCTACTTGCATAATTTGAAGAAAAAGAAACCGTGCCATGACCCAGCTTGATGATGGGGAACTCCTACCAACAGGAACAATGCAACTAGAAAACCATTTCCTCCCCCCTTCCTTTCTCTTGATCCTTGGTTTATATTTCACGGAAGAGCACGTGTTATGACTGCATCCTCTAATCGTGTAGCTACAAGTTGCTTGAGATTCGTTTTACCTCTTTTTTCATGTTTTGTGATTTTTTTTCCCCTATTCAGAGAAAGAAATCAACCAAGATAACGGTTGGCTGATTTCTTACTCTTGATGCAGAAATCTGGTGGCATCTGATCTGAGATGCCACCAGAGATTAGAGAATCGTGCAGATTCTAGTTCCTAATTTAAAATGAAAGAAATGTATTGACGGAACTATTCCAAAAATTCAATTAAAAATGATATGGCTATGGGATAAGTCTAATTTAAAATGGATTCGAAACATGGATTCAGAAAAATTTCATCTGCGATGCTGAGGTTTGCAAATGTTTTTGGGATGAATTATTTATTCTATAGGGATTAAATTACTTCGTTCTTGTAGTTCATGACGCAGTTTCTTCTTAGTCAAGCGTGACATAAACAAATTAGCAAACTTCCTCAGAAGTGAAATAATGTGATTTTATATCTGCAAGTGAAATCAAAATATCCAAGCACTGCAAACTCTTTAAAATATATTTAGATGATTATTTTAAGTGACCGTTAAAAAACACAACAAACTAATAATCTTAAAAATAATTTAGCATCTCTCTTTCGTATATTCAAAGGATTACTGACAACTTCTACAATTATTAGAATACCATATCTAGTAATATACTCGATATCGTTGTCTACTACTCTTTTCATCGCATCTTTCTTCGTCCTAAAGTATGAATATCATACTAAGGGAACTAAGACCGAAGAAAAATTGAAATAATAATTTAGAAAGCAGTTAAGATGAAGTTTTCTTATTACACTACTGAAAAGAATGAACCAAAGGTAAATTGAAAGAAATAATCCTTGTTTAAGAATAAGGGAATGTGGAAACGAAATGAGTACTCGACTAACAGAAATGCTTAAGACACTGAAAATATTCCTGAGGGTGAAATTAAATA